CCATATCCCCAGTACCTAAATAGCACACTAGTACATGTCATGTGCTCAATAAACATTGGTTAAATGGTGACTGAATGCCGGGCACAGTGGCTCACACCTGTAATCCTAGCACTCTAAGAGGCCCAAGACAGAAGGACTGCTCGAGATCAAGAGTTCAAGACCAGCCTGAGCAAGGTGGACGAGACTCGTCTCTACTAAAAATTAGCCAGGCGTAGTGGTGAGCACCTGTAGTCCCAGCTACTTGGGAGGCTGAGACAGAAGGATTGCTTGAGCCCAGGAGTTTAAGGCTGCTGTGAGCTAGGCTGATGACATGGCACTCTACTCAAGGCAACAGAGTGAGACTCTGTAGCCAAAAAAAAAGAAGAAGAAGAAGAAGAAAGAAAGAAAGAAATGACACAAGGATTCTTCCTTAGATACTTTCTTACTTTCTCCCACCCAATTCAAACTAATATTGCTATTTGTTTTTAAAACTAAAAGACAGTAAGTGAAACAAGTTCCACTATAATTGATGAGTAGTCATCAGAAGCTAATAAACTGGTACCAGAGCATCTCTTCAAGTAAATTAGGCATTTCAAAAGGACAGAGTATAAAAGATATGCTAAATTCTCGTTTTTAAATGTAATACTTTGGTGAAACTACAGTGTAACAAATACAAGATACAATACTACTGTTACAAATACAAGAGATAAAAGATGAATGTGACATGGTCCTTAACTCTTAGTAGCCTGCTGGAGAGTAATTCCATTCCTCAAATCCATGCCAATCTAAAGAGGTCCCATCGTTAGCCTTGTTTAACTTGGCTGAAGCAGATGCTTCTGCTTTATCTTTTATGAAACCCTTCCTTATACATTAATTCCTTTAATCCTCATGAAAACTCTTGTTTTATTATTAACGCTCTCGTTTTGTAGACGTAGAAATTGAAGATCTGCAAAACTATTGTCTTGAAAGAATTCAATCCCAGTCAGCTTAACTGCCTTGAAAGAATTCAATCCGAGATTCTCTGACTCCAAATGACATGCTTTTTCATGTATTCATTCACTCAAAAAATATTTACTGGAAGCCAAGGCGGGTGGATGGTTCAAGGTCAAGAGTTCGAAACCAGCCTGAGCAAGAGCGAGACCCCATCTCTACTAAAAATAGAAAGAAATTAATCAGACAACTAAAAATATGTAGAAAAAATTAGCTGGGCATGGTGACGCATGCCTGTAGTCCCAGCTACTCAGGAGGCTGAGGCAGGAGGATCACTTGAGCCCAGGAGTTAGTTTGAGGTTGCTGTGAACTAGGCTGATGCCATGGCACTCTAGCCCAGGCAACAAAGTGAGACTCTGCCTCAAAAAACAAAAAGAAAAGAAAAAAAAATATTTACTGAGCATCCACAATATACTAGGAGTTGGAGATGCGACAGTAAACGAGGCTGAGACCAAGCTTGCCCTTATTCTAACAAAACAGCACGCTGTTAGCAGTTCTAAGACCCCAAACAATTTGCCCGGTGTGGTGGCAAAAGCCTGTAATCCTAGCTACTCAGGAGGCTGACGAAAAAGGATTGCTTGAGCCCAGGAGTTGGAGGCTGCAGTGAGGTATGATAACGCCACTGCACTCCAGCCTAAGTGACACAGACCCTGTCTCAAAAACAAAAGGCACAACAACAACAACAAAAAATCCCCAAACTATTTCACCTCTCTAAACCTCACGTTCATCAAGTGTATAACGAATGCAATATGCCTACTTGGCATGATGCACAGTGCCTCCCATTCGTGAATAGCAGAAATAACCACTAACACAACTAACTGCAGAGGACTATGAAAAGAGAACGTTTCGGGGGCCAAAACGACTAAGTCACCCCCAGGAAGTGCCCAGCCTCTCTGCCAGCCCCGGACTCTGCGGACTTGGGGCACTCCTCCCGCGCCCAGGCACTTCGTTGGCCACACTCGCTGCCTCCCTCCATCCGTCGGACACCGACCCCTCTTCGGTTGCCCGGAGTTCTCCCAGCAGTTATCAGTGAGGGAGACACACACACACCCACAGACCCCCGCCACACCGAAGGCCGGACCGGAGGAGGCGCTCAACGGTCCAGGCCTTCGCCACTGCTTTCGCCCACTGGGAAAGTAGGCCCAAGCGTGGTCGCCCGGGTGCCACTAATCCTCACTCTGTGTTCACCTCACTGTAGAAGGTCATAAATGCATCCTCTGTGCTGCCTCCGCCACCCGAAGTCCCGCTTTCTCCTGAAGCCGCCATTTCCCCGGCCAGCTACCACGTGACCCTTCTGCGCAGGCGCTCCGTCACGTGCTTCCTAGCTTAGAGGTCCCCCTCTCTAGCCCCGCCCCCTCCTGAGCTACCCTTAAAGGGCTCCCTGCTCAGACAGACGCTTAACCTAGACTGATTGTTTTATTAAAATGAAATACATATTGGGCCGGGCGCGGTGGCTCACGCCTGTAATCCTAGCACTTTGGGAGGCCGAGGCGGGCGGATCGCTCAAGGTCAGGAGTTCGAAACCAGCCTGAGCAAGAGCGAGACCCCTGTCTCTCTACTATAAATTGAAAGAAATTAGCCTAACAACTAAAAATAGAAAAAATTAGCCGAGCATGGTGGCACATGCCTATAGTCCCAGCTACTCGGGAGGCTGAAGCAGGAGGATTGCTTGAGCCCAGGAGTTTGAGGTTGCTGTGAGCTAAGTTGACACCATAGCACTCTAGCCCCGGCAACACAGTGAGACTCTGTCTCTAAATAAATAAATAAAGTGAACAATTTAGTTGCCTTTAGTACATTCACAAAGTCGTGCAACCACCACCTCTATCTAGTTCCAAAACAGTTTCATCATGTCAAAAGAAGACCTGATAGGCCACCCAGTGGCTTACGCCTGTAATACTAGCACTCTGGGAGGCCAAAGCAGAAGGATCAGTTGTTCAAGACCAAACTGAGTAAGAGAGAGACCCAGTCTCTACTAAAGAAATTAGCGGGCGTGGTGGCACATGCCTGTAGTCCCAGCTACTTGGGTGGCTGAGGCAAGAGGATTGCTGCAGCCCAGGAGTTTGAGGTTGCTGTGAGCTAGGCTGATGCCCCAGCCCAGCATTCTAGCCCTGAGCAAGACTTTCTCAAAAAAAAAAGGAAAGAAAGAAGAAAAAGACCTGGTACCTGTTAAGTACCCTCTCCCCAGTCCCTGTCAATAAGTAATATGTATACCCTGTATAGAAGTCCATGAAAAAAATAAATAAATAAAAATAAGTAATATGTAAACTGTCTCTGTGTATTTACCTGTTCTGGATATTTCCTATAAATGAAATCATACAATATGTAGCTTTTTGTGTCTGGTTCCTTTCACTTAGCATAATGTTTTCAAGGTTTATCCAAAGTGTAGTATTGGCCTGGCACAGTGGCTCATGCCTGTAATCCTAGCACTCTGGGAGGCTGAGGCAGGAGGGTCGCACAAGGTCAGGAGTCCGAAACCAGCCTGAGCAAGAGCGAGACTCCGTCTCTACTAAAATAGAAAGAAATTAATTGGTCAACTAAGAATATATACAGAAAAAAAAATTAGCCGGGCATGGTGGTGCATGCCTGTAGCCCCAGCTATTCCAGAGGCTGAGGCAGTAGGATTGCTTAAACCCAGGAGTTTGAGGTTGCTGTGAGCTAGGCTGACGCCAGGGCACTCTAGTCTGGGCAACAGAGTGAGACCCTGTCTGAAAAAAAACAAAAAACAAAGTGTAGTATTTATCAGTACTTCATTCCTGTTTTATGGCTGAATAATATTCCACTGTATGTTTATACCACAATTAATGTACCCATTCATCAGTTAATGGACATTTGGGTTGTTTCCACCTTTTGGCTATTTTGAAATAGTGCTGCTATGAACATGCATGTACATGTATTTGTTTGAGTACCTATTTTCAACTTTGTGGGGGTTTGTACCTAGAAGTGAAATTGCTGAGTCATGTGGCAAATCTACATTTAATTTTCTGAGCAAATGCCAAGTTGTTTTCCACCATGACTGATCTATTTCACATTCCCACAAGCAATGTACAAGGGCTACAATTTCTCCACATTGTCACTGTTATTTCCCCTTTTATTATTAATAATTATACCGTCTCGTAGTGCCTAGATGGATCTTTTCCATAAACTCAGCAAGATCTTCCACTAGATGTTCAGCCTAGGACATGATCGAGAAACAGCAGTATCTGAGAACTAGAAACAGTTTCTGCGACTGGCCTGGCACTTAAAGATCATCTAGAAACACACCAAACTATTATTACTAGGTTGGGGGCCTATAAGATCATTATTTCCATCATTCTACTTTTGTGTTTTCCAAAATTTTCTGCAAGGAACATTTGAAAATTTGCTCTGCAGACATTTCTTCCCATTTAAGTAATACAAACCAGGAATGGTATTTTCCCAGCCAAAGGAGGATCAATAAAACCAGTTCTGCTGGACACAGTGCCTCAGGAGAACTGCTTGAGGCCTGGAGTTGGAGACCAGCCTGAGCAAGTGTAAAAGTGTAAGACCTTCCCCACATCTCTACCAAAAAATAGAAAAATTAGCCAGACCTGGTGGCACCTGCCTGTAGTCCCAGCGGGGGAGGGGGCGGGGAGGGGGAGGAGCTGAGGCAAGAGGATCGCTTGAGCCCAGGAGTTTGAGGTTGCTGTGAGCTATGATGACGCCACGGCACACTAGCCCGGGAAACAGAGCGAGACCCTGCCTCAAAAAAATAAAAAATAACGACTTTAGGATTAGAATCGTGGGCTGGAGTTGGATGCCACGCTTCATTCTGATGGGTCCAAGGGCCAAAATTTCGGCTTCTGACATTCTCCTCATCCCCCTCTACAACCTCCTCTGTGTCATTATTAGCTACGAAGCTTTGGCCACTTATTAGCGGTTGGCTAAAAACAGGTCCACATCTTGCTCAGGATTCGCTGTGAGCTCCCGGAATCCCGCCTCCTCTCTCCCATGATTCGCTACTCCTGTATTCATTCCGCCCCTCCATCGAACAGATTGGGTGCTTGGCCATCCTCGTCATTAGCGCGTTCAGAGAGGCTGTTGCCGCAGTGACCTGAGAGAAGCTCTGGCAACTATGGCAGTCTCGGTGTTGGCGGTGCGGTCGCGGCTTGGCATGTGGGGCGTGAAGGCCGTCCAAGCCCGAGGCTTCGGCTCGGATCAGGTACGCAGCAGCAGTGTCCGCTGCCCCAACCCTGAACGCGGGTTCCATCTTCCCTTCCGCACCTTTACCTATGTCCCCGTCTCTCCCCAGGCCGAGCATACCGACAGGGGCGCGGGCTCGATTAGGGATGCTGGTGGAGCCTTCGGAAAGAGAGAGCAGGCGGAAGAAGATCGATATTTCCGGTGAGGCCCTCGAGATCCCAAGTACATCCCTACATCTCCCAGGGAAGATGGAAGATCTCCCATCTTCCAGTCCAAGGCACCCTACCTGGTTCCTGGGAGCGGTCCAACCCACAGCAGAATTCCCAGACCCATCACAACCTAACACTTGAGGACCCGGACCGTTGCCACCTATAGGGTGCTCCCAGTTCCTTGCTAAACAGTCCCAGGGCCCCCAAACCCAAGCCATTTCCACCGGCGGGTCTCCAGAGAAATTTAAACCCATGGCTCAACTCCTTTATCAATTACCATCTCCCCCTGCATGGAGTTTCCCCCGATCTGCGAAATGCCCCCATTTTCTTCACGCAGTGTCTAGATCCGACTGTCCAGTACTCGCAGACCCTCTGAGCCCGACTCCCTTGGTTTTCACCCTCCTATCGTCCACTCTACGCTTTTTCTCCCCCACACGCCTTAGCTTGGCAAGCCCACGTTCATTCCTTAAAGCTGCAGACTTTCTCAGCGGTTTCTAGATCCTCATGCGTGTCCAGTTCTGCCAGAGTGGGTGGGTCCTAGGAGCTGGTAGAACTTGCTTATGGTTGGACTCCAACCCTTCCTGGAGACCTTGGCTCTACTCAGCCCAGCCCAGACCCGAGGCTGTAGATTTACCTCTCTCTCTTAGAAGTAGGGAGTGGGCTGAGCCTATCAGCTTCCTTTCCCGGCCCTGAGTTATCTTTAATTGACTTTTGTCTACACTGGGGAGCAGCAAGGAACTAATCTTCCTTCTGCGTGTTATTGAGAATTTGTGGCACCTGCCTTACCAGAGAGCCAAGGTACAGCCGTTAGAGACCGTGTAGTTGGGTCTCTACATTTTATAGTTAAGGAAAACAGAGCTAAATGTGGCTGAACCAACATTTTAATCTAGTCCTTCTTGACACCTAGATTGAACTGCCAAGTACTGCCTATGCAAGAAACTCCTCCTTTTTTGGCCCTTACAGTGGGCCACACATTTCTCTAGGCAAAGAAGGCCCTAGATAAATTCGGAGAAGAGATGGATATTTGTCCTTTAACCACATCGCTTTCTCTCTCTCCCTCCTTTTTGCTCCTTTTTTCCCCTAGAAAGGCACTCAGGTGCTCTGGATTGTTCCTCCAATAAGGTGTTGGGGATTTAGGCTACATCTCTCTGGAGTTTTCAATTTTCAAGAGGAATCTGAAAGGAATCGCTCATTAATGGTGGAGTTTCAGGCATTAGCACAAGGAAAATGGAATCATTTTGGTCATTTCCTTAAGATGCTATACCTCAATTTGAGATGGCGATTGTGGGTTAAAAGAGGATGACCAGCCAGACTCCATGGTATTAGGACTCCTGTACTTTGCCTTAGGTATTGCAGGTTATACTTAGAGATCTCTTTTTTTTTTGAACAGTCTCGCTCTGTTGCCCAGGCTAGAGTGAGTGCTGTGGTGTCAGCCTAGCTCACAGCAACCTCAAACTCCTGGGCTCAAGCAATCCTACTGCCTCAGCCTCCCGAGTAGCTGGGACTACAGGCATGCACCACTATGCCTGGCTAATTTTTCTATATATATTAGTTGGCCAATTAATTTCTTTCTATTTATAGTAGAGACGGGATCTCGCTCTTGCTCAGGCTGGTTTTGAACTCCTGACCTCGAGCAATCCGCCCGCCTCGGCCTCCCAGAGTGCTAGCATTACAGGCATGAGCCACCATGCCTGGCCTAGAGATCTCTTTAAAAGGATTGACATTAAACTCTGAGTCACTGTGTCTTCATAGGGCGCAGACTAGAGAACAACTGGCAGCCTTGAAAAAACACCACGAAGATGAGATTGGTCATCATAAGAAGGAGATTGAGCGTCTGCAGAAAGATATTGAGCGACATAAACAGGAGATCGACAAGATAAAAAAGGATGATTAAATGCACACAGTTCCCCATAGAATGGCACATATCATTGCCCACTTCTATGTAGACATAGTTCTGGTTTAATTAATATTTGTGTGCCACTAACAGATTCTAATAAATTGTCATCAGTGAAATGTCTCTGATGTCTTCTCTGTGGAAGGGGGTAGAGGGACAGACACTACTGGACTGCCAAAATGAAATAGACAGGTCCCTCCAATAGGGAGTTCACAATCAAAGCACAATGTGATAAGTACTGTGAAACAACATGGAGGCAATGAGGGGTAAGTGTGACATCTGACACAGACAAGGGATTCCTCCTCAGTCTAGTTAGAAGCATTCAGAGAAAGCTTAAAGGATAAATCCCAATCCAAAGCATAAAGACCAGGAGCAAACTGGAGAACAGAGAGGGATCATTGCTTCAAAGATGCAATTCAAGGTACCATCATTAATAATACCATTTGGCATTTATAAAATGGTTTAGAGTACTCCTCGTATGAACCAGTCATCTTTGTTCTAATTTTGCAGATTGAGAGAACTGGAATTAGAAATCCTGTATTGCCTACAGTCACTCAATACATTGGAGTTGAGACTTGCATCCAGGTTCTGTGAATACTAATCAAGTCTATTAATAGCAGAAAATCAGAATTATTTTATAGGTTATATTTTGCTTTGCCAAGTGTTCTTGTTTCAAATTAGACTTTAAGGCCTACTTTAACTAAATTTTTTTTTTTTTTTTTTGTTGGAGACAGTCTTGCCCTGTCCCCCAGCTAGAGTGCAGTGACATTATCATAGTCAAACTCCTGAGCTCAAGGGATCCTCCCACCTCAGCCTCTCAGTGCTAGGATTACTGGCAGGCTAGAGCCACTGTGCTGGCCTTAACTAAATTATTATTCAAACTCATTGTGTTAACTCCTCTAGACAAAAAAACTTAAGGTGATATTTAGACCATTTAGAAAAACATTTTCATTTCACGAGTTCAATATATTATTTGCCCAGAATTGTGATGAGTCATTTGTTACAAGACCCTATCTCACAAAGGCCGGGGCCATGGAATGATAAAAATTGAACAGTCATTGACTTTGCCCATGTAGATAATATACTAGATGGCTGTTTCCAAAACTTGCTTGCTCATTAAACTGAACATTTTGAATTATAATGCTGCTGTTGGGAGTTTTATAGATGTTCTGAGGTGTGAGTGCTGAGATTCAAGTGTCCAAAAGCAAAATAACCTCAAAGATTAAGTTCAAGAAATTATCATCTTTAGGTCAGGATTGAAAAAAAAAAAATAAAGGAAGAAAAAAAAGAAATGATCATACTAAGTGAAATGCTTTTTTATAAACTTTACAACAAAACAAAATTTGAAAAGCTTAAAAGATTAGGAAGAAGTTTTAACATCTTCCATTTTGCACATTTATAACCAAAAAACAAAGCATACAAAATCCCCTAAATTTGTAGATGATAGTATTTTTGTGACTTCTTATAATCAACAATTGGCCTTATTAGTAATGATGTTCCTGGTGACAAAAAAAAAAAGAATGATGTTCCTGAGCTGATTTCTCAATAGGGATGTGCCATTACACTATATTTTATTTTAAATAAAAATCAGTCTAATGATAATTGAACAAAACAAGCAAAAAGTTGGAAGAAAGTGCAGATGAAAGAATCATGGCTTGAATTCTTAAAAAGATTAAATAAATAATTTTTGGAGCAGGCTAATTTAAATATACCTGAACTTTGTGAAAATGGTGACTCACGGTCTTTTTGTTATGATATACCTGTAGTTAATTTTTCTATCATGCTACAATAAAAGCAAGATGTTAAGTATTGAGTAATATCACAAATATATGTTAAAACTCTAAGTTAATTTATGTGATGTGAACCAGTAACCGTAGAAAAATAGCCTAGGTCGTAAGTTTCATCTGGGACCCAGAAGCACCCCAGATGGTTCTTAAAATCAGGCAAGTTTGGAAAACACTACAATAGCTACAGCAGTGGTTTCACAAGTAATGTTAGTATCACCTGGGAACTTGTTAGAAATGCAAATTCTCTGGCACCACCACAAAACTGCTGAAATGGGGTGTTCAACCCAGCAATCTTACCCTTCCAGTTGATTCTGTTATGTACTGAGATTTAAGGACTACTGTAGTATACAGGTAGTTTCTCATGGAAACTACTGACAATTTTTGAATAAACAACACTTTTTATAAAGGCAGGTTATTATGTATAAAAATTATACACATTTAATATAGTTCTTAATACGAATGCTGCTTTAGGATTTAGAAATAAAAATGTTAAGAATTTTCTTGTATGAAACATTAACATTTTAGAACATAGCATTCTGCAGAATACAATTTGGAAAATACTTCACTAGCTTATTGCATTTGTTAAAATCCTTTTTGTTCACACGTAACAGAAACCAGCACTGGCTATTAATTTATTGGAATAGAGGCTATTGTCTCACAAAATCTCAAGAAGACTTGCACAGACAAGACTTGGGAAAGGAAGACACCAGAGTAGCTCTGTGAACTGCAGGAACAGATCTGTCTAAGCAGCTTCCAAACCATCTGTGTCAGAATCATTGGGGTCCTTGCTTTTTTGTAAGAGGTCTGTGAAGTTTTATGCAATGAAATTATTTAACAATTGCACAACAATATATATTTATGGAGCACATTACAATTATTTGCTCATTAAATCTCAGGATGTTTTTGGCAAATAGGTCCTTTACATTAGTTTAATTTTTTTTCTTGTTTGTATTTAAAAAAAAAATTCTGGCCCGGTGCGGTGGCTCACGCCTGTAATCCTAACACTATGGGAGGCCGAGGTGGGAGGATCACTCAAGGTCAGGAGTTTGAAACCAGCCTGAGCAAGAGCAAGACTTCATCTCTACTAAAAATAGAAAGAAATTAATTGGCTAACTAAAAATATACAGAAAAAATTAGTCGGGCATGGTAACGCATGCCTGTAGTCCCAGCTACTCGGGAGGCTGAGGCAGGAGGATCACTTGAGCCCAGGAGTTTGAGGTTGCCGTGAGCTAGGCTGATGCCACAGCACTCTAGCCTGGGCAACAGAGTGAGACTGTCTAAAAATAATAATAATAATAAAAATAATAAAAAAATTTTTTTCCCTCTGTCTACCTGGCCTTAGCACAGACCCCATAGGTTAAGGGTTCAGGCCCACAGACTGCCCCCATTTCAGACTTCAGTCTCAAGTGCAGGCCTCCAGAACTTCTCACCACCACCATTCCACCCCTGCTAAAATTGGAGGTTCTGAAACCCCTTCTGATTGTTCCATTGTTTGTTAGAGCAGCTCACAGAACTCAGGGAAACACTTTCCTTATGTTTTCTATTTTATTATAAAGGATACAACTTGGGAACAGCCAGATGAAGAGATACATAAGGCAAGCGATTGTGGGGGGCGGCAACCCCGGAGCTTCCATGCCCCCCCAGGACCCACCCTCCAGGCACCGCCACAGTATTCAGCAACCTGGAAGCCTAGTTTAATTTTATAACCAAAGGAACTGAAGCAGGGAAGTTACTGCGAAGTAACTTTCACGAGGTCATACTATCAGGTTTCTGCTGATCAAAGTCTTTACTTCAGAACTCTTGCTCCCACAACCTGGAGTTGCAGTTCCAATGTCATGGTATAGCTATTATCTCCCTCTTCGATGTGGAACAAATCAGAGGATATGCATGAACATCTGGGGGTGGATGGTAAAAGCAAAGGCTCTTGGCAATAAATGTGGAAGTGCTGGTGTTGGTGCTGGCATTCATTGGCTTTTTGGCTGTGACATAAACCCCATCAGCATGTCTATGCATGCTTACATGATGCCAATACACATTTACGATAGAGCCTAGTTTGAGATTTTCACACTGTTAAGTCTAAGTTGTAGTTCTCAGCACAGGCTGCACATTGAAATACCTGAAAAGCTTTATAAATAAAACCTCAGGGCTGGGCAGGGTGGCTCATGCCTATAATCCTAGCACTTTAGAAGCCCCAGGGAGGAGGATCACTGGAGCCCAGGAGTTTGAGGTTACAGTGAGCTATGATCATGCCACTGTACTCCAGCCTGGGCAACATAGCGAGACTCTTGTCAATAAATAAATAAACTTCAGGAGTAATGAAATCCAAATCTCTAAGATTGGAGCCTGGGCATCAGTACAGGCATGCCTCCTTTTATTGTGCTCACTTTATTGAGCTTCACGGATAACTGCATTTTTCTACAGATTGAAGGTTTGTGGCAACCCTGCATCAAGCAAGTCTATCAATGCCACTTTTCCAACAGCCTGTGCCCACTTCATCTCTCAGTGTCACATTTTGGTAATTTTCATAATATTTCAACCTTATCTTTACTATTATTCTATCTGTTATGGTGATCTGTGATCAGTGATCTTTGACATTACTATTGTAATTATTTGGGGGCACCGTGAAATGTACCTATATAAGACAGAGAACTTAATTGATAAATGTATGTTCTGACTGTTCCACTCACTGGCCATTATCCCATCTCTCTCCCTCTCCTAGTCCCTGAGACACAACAATATTAAAATTGAGCCAATTAAGAACCCTACAATGGCCTCTAAGTGTTCAGGAGAAAGGAAGAGTCACATGTCTCTCACTTTAAATCAAAAGCTAACAATGATTAAGCTTAGCTAGGAAGGCGTATCAAAAGTTGGAACAGGTCAAAAACTAGGCCTCTTATGCCAAATAGCCAAGTTGGAAATGCAAAGGAAACATTCTTAAAGAAAACTAAAAGTGCTACTCCAAAGAATACGTGAATAACAAGAAAACAAAACAGATCTGTTGCTGATACGGAGAAAGTTTTTTTGTTGGTTTTTTTTTTTTTTGAGACAGAGTCTTGCTTTGTTGCCCAGGCTAGAGTGAATGCCATCAGCCTAGCTCACAGCAACCTCAATCTCCTGGGCTCAAGCAATCCTACTGTCTCAGCCTCCCGTGTAGCTGGGACTACAGGCATGCGCCACCATGCCCGGCTAATTTTTTCTATATATATATTAGTTGGCCAATTAATTTCTTTCTATTTATAGTAGAGTTGGGGGTCTCGCTCTTGCTCAGGCTGGTTTTGAACTCCTGACCTTGAGCAATCCGCCTGCCTTGGCCTCCCAGAGTGCTAGGATTACAGG